CCCTTCAGCTGGTGGCGCCCTAGGCAACCGCCTAGCTCGCCTATGCCTAGAAACGGCCCTGACCCCAAATATGCACTAATGTTAAAAATTCTGATTTTTAAAAAAAGTTTTTGAAAAGAAGCCTTTTATGCTTACTAATTTCTGAAAAAAATCAGATAAAATAAGTAAAAACAATAATATTGTGATATATTACAATTTAAAATAGCAGTTTTCTGTGAAATGTAATTTATTTCTGTGATCAAAGCTGAATTTTCAGCATCATTACTCCAGTCTTCAGTGTCACTGATCCTTCAGAAATCGTTATACTGAAGATATAATATATATATATATATGTGTGTGTGAAGAGTTCGGATGCAAAACCCTCTAAATCCGTCAGACTTCTTTTCTTTTAAATTAGCATTTTTTATCAGGCTCCTATGTTCACGTTCAGTAGTTCCGTTTTAAAGGTAATGATACGGCTATTGGTCAATGAATAAAATAACTTTTTTTCAAAAATGTCACAAGATAATTCATTGGTTTTTAACAAATTAGATTTTCTTTTGCATCAAAACCAGCTAAATCCACTTGTGCTTTTTTTGCAAAAGCCTCTAAATCCACCTCTTTGGGACAAGACATAGTAAAGAGTTGAAAAATCACTAAAGATGTAACTAGAAACACTGAAAAAGATGAGAGCACAATCATTTCCAAACTAAACAGTAGACAAACCTCTTTACACGGGGGTTGAATGAGATCTGTGATTATTTGTCAATCCCACCCCATTTCTCTGCAGTCAACCTTCTGCCCTGTCTGAATCAAGGCAAAAAGCCCCAAAAATATAAAAAACAAAAAAAGAAAGATTCACACAGTATAACCACAATGGCACAAAATGGCAGCACATTTATTTTAACAATACAAAAAACAGATGTTGCACAAACATTTAATTAAATTATTTAATTAAATTAAAAAAATCTGTCAAGTAAGTGCATTAAGTCAGTAACATTAAATTGACAATAAAATCTTAACAATCATGTCATTTCTGATACTTGGGATTTAGATTCAAGTAGAACAATGTAAACATTGCAAACATTGTTTGTAAACAAAACTTATTAGATTCAAACAGTGTAGTGTATAATCAAGTATGTATGTGAGAACAGTGCAAAACATTCTGATAAAAACTCAAGACACTTTTTTTGAAGTGTAAAATAACAGTCTGAATAAAAACATCAATATTTCCCATGCCCACCAATATCATAACGTGCTATGTGCAACTAGTATAAAAAAAGCTTATCCGATTCAAATAGTTTAGTGTATAATCAAGTAGAAGAGTGCAACATTCTGAAACATCAATATCTGTGCAATGTGCATTTAGTATAAAAAGCTTATCAGACTTAAGTAGTGTAAAGTAATATTATATATAAGGTATAACTCAAGTATAAGAAAATTCAGTGCACAAAACGGGTATTCTGGTTAAAATTTTGAAAGGCCTAAACAACTGTCTTAAACTAAAATGTTCCCATATAAACTGCATATCAGATTCAATTTGGATAAAATACTTAATGAAATGTAAAACGACATTAAGATAACAATAAATAACAATAACAATAAATGGGACTTGACCTCTTAATGAATTACCAATATCTTACAATAGCTTACACTAGCAAATAAAGCACACACAGTACTGTGCAAAAAGAGGACATCTCTCAGACACTTTTAGATGCTGTCATTCATTCATCCTCACCATCCTCAAAGTCTTGTTCAATGTCCTTGTCACCATGTCTTGCACCATGTCACCATTCTTGTTCAATGTCCTTGTCACCAGGATGTTTTCATAGAACTCTTGCACAGCTGAAACCACTTCTTACCTCGCTTCAGCACAGAGTGCTGGCAAAATTCACCAACAAACACTATCTCCAGAGATTTGCAGCACTCTTGCTTCACTTATTTTGAATGATCTCTGAGTTGTCGTGAACCTGGCTACTGCTTCTTTGAAGTCATAGCACTGCCAGTCCTTTCCACATTGATGGACAGTGCCATGCTTCAGCAAAATGTTGTTATACTCTTCCGGCAACAGAATAGTAGTATGCTTCCGGATATCTTGCTCAATCCTTCCAAACACTCTGTCAGCTGGAAGAAAACTGCACCCTCATATAGGAAAGAAGTAAGTGATGTTGAGCTGAGGGTACAGCTGAGAACGAAGGGCAAACAACATTGACAGAACATTAATGTTTTTATTCTGGCCGTAGCAAGAGTCGGAGTACAGGCGGAGGCTCTGACACTGGCGCAGATCAGCTCTAGCCACTGTGCTGAAATGGTGTCGTAGAGCTGAGGCGACGATGTTACTATCCTTTGAGTTCTCATATTCCAGCCAGGTGTACAGATTTATCTCATGCCGACTCTGGGGTTCTCCTCTTCCACGGTGACGAACCACACCGAATACATAAAAGTATACCTGGCGTGAGTAATACGTTTGACCAATAGCAGACCTAGGAAGGACCAGGTTTTCCATTATGTCAAAGCAGACAGTGAATGTATCACCCACGTCATTTAGCGTGTCATAAAACTGACGGGCTCAGCGACGGTGAAGAGTGTAAAGAAGAATCATATTCCGCTTCTCTTCTGCAGTCAGGTCAGGATCATTGATTGCATTGCGGAATTTGACACAAGAAGAGCACACATCTTTGGCTGACCAAAGGCCAGGTTGAAGTCATACACAAAGATGCTCCAGTAGAGTGAGTAGGAAACCTGTTGATGATTCTGCTCAAGAAACATCTGATGCATTTTTGCCACACTCAAGTCACTTGGCAGGAACTTTCTCCCAGGTGCACCACGGCGGGCATAGTGGCTTGCTCTACAATTAAAAGACTGTATGTGCTTTCGAACCATGTCCAACTTTGCAGTTTGCTCTTCAATTTCCCTGGAACCACCATGATTTTCGGGACATGCTTTGCCGTTCTCAAGCCAGTACTTTGCAATACCTTGGACTCTGTCTTTCTTGACAGCTAAAATGAAAATAATCATGAAACCAATCATGCAGGCATATTACACACAATTTCAAAACATGAATTGACAACAGTTATACAGTTTATTATTCTTTTGCAAAGGTCTACTCATATTAATGGGGAGAGCATTTAACTGGGGAGAACATTTGTGCAATAATAATAATGTGCAATATCACTTATATTTCTTTGATACCACCCATCTTAGTCCATCCCTACATCATTTTTCATTATCTGTGTGTTGTTGTTGTCTCCGTTTACTGGAAGCTTCTGTCACCAGAACAAATTCCTTATATGTGCAAACATACTTGGCAAGAAAGCTCTTTCTGATTCTGATATTGTTTTTAACAAATTTAGGTAGCCTATGACCATCAATGATAATGAACAAAAATTAAATGTACAAAACCAATGCCATTCTTTATACTTATTTAAAATTGTTTCAAGTTTTTCCACAAGTAATAAAAGTATGAAAAAAGTAAACAAGTTTCACCCAAAAGTTTAGTCATAGTTCTGCTGCCACTGAAAAACATTTGTAAACTGTTGTCTGTTTTAGGGTTTGCTGGTGTGTTTCAGGATCTTCCTCAGTCTGCAGCTGTAAAAGGAAAATATAATATACTTCAGTAAAGCAGTGGGCTGAGTCTGACCAAATGCAACATTAGATCATTGACACCAGCTAAAATATAACTTTTCAGGAAATAACAAACCTCAGCTTTTATAATAAATTGATAAAATTACAAATATTAAGTGTATATCAAATAGATGGAAACTGTAGTATTAAAACACTTTACAATAAGGTTGTATTTGTTAGATAACATGACCTAACAATAATGTGTTATAACCTAGTTATATGGCAATTACTCTTCTTAGGGTTAATTTCAAAGTTCAATCTGTTAAAATTATTTAATGCACAATGAACCAGCATGAATGATCAAGTGTTTGTATTAAATAACATTCACAAACATTAATGCATGTTTTAAAAAATATATTGTTCACTCACTGTAAGATGTTACTAGATCTAACTCACGTTAGAAAACATTAAGTCATTGTACAGTAGTCTATACAGGAGATAAAATTTGACTGTGTAATGAGTGGGATGTTTAGTCCACTAAGTGGCAGTAATGGATTGTATAAAGTCAAGTGCATTTGCTAAGGAGTGGTGTGGTAATTTGTATATGATGATTGTTCCACGTGGAATAAAGAGGCCAGCACTAGTACCACCAGTACTACCTCTTTATATTGGTTTCTTGTCTAGTTATTGAATAATACATGGTACCAGGAGTGGGGTTTGAAGAACGCCATGGACGCAATTAAACCACCGGGCTCTTTGAAGTTGTGTGGAAATGTTGACGCAAATTGGCGGACTTTCAAACAACAGTTTACGCTGTATGTTTTAGCTATTGGCCAAGCAGAAGCTGCAGATGAAAGGAAGATTGCTATGTTACTTACTATTGCTGGAGTAGATGCTGTGGAAGTATACAACACCTTTAATTTTGAAGATGAGGCAGATAAGAAGAAACTGGATAAGGTATTGGAAAAATTTGATGCTCATTGCTTGTCAAAGAAGAATGAGACATGAGCGATATGTATTTCGAACGCGAATGCAGCA